TTTATCACATCACTGAAGTGTTTTTAAAAATTTTTCAGAATAGTTCAATTACAGGTACGGTGCATTTAGAACTTAACATTCTGGTATATCTTCCTGTTTCTGAATCACTTATTTCTTACAGTATGTGTAATACAATTTTGTAAAGCTCTTGCGAGACAGACAGGAAGCTTTGAAGTAAAAAGGAATAATTGTCATTTATGTTTATAGCTATAAACAAAGTGACAGAAAATTTTTTTGAGAAATCCATTGAGGCCGGGAGGTAGACAAGGTGCGCCTGCACACACGTCTGTTTGTATTTACACACACTTAGAGATTTTACATGGAGAGTCTTACGACACTGTCCTGATGCTGTCCTAGACGTGAGTAAGTCTGGTGAGAAAAAGAGTGAGAAACAGCATATCTTCATTCTCCCGAATTTCTTGACATGAGAATCCACGTGTTTGCAAGTAGCATGCAATTTGGATTTCTTAAGTCCTCTGGCCTTGATGTGCACCCTAGGACAACATGAGGTTAAGATGGCACTCCTGTAAGACCTGTGCCGGATGTAAAATCAATCAATTAAATCATAATCTGTTAAATTTCTTTGTAAAGAAAGTCTGATTAGATGTCAGTTTTTATTAAAAATATATATATGATTGACAAGAACAACACAGTAAGATTAATAAGCAGCAAAATAAAGAATTCTGGTTAACATTACTGTGCAAAATTAAGCATCAATGCAATAGTTTTTAAACTAGTATAGTCTTCATTTTTTACAAATGAGTGGCAAGAGTTTATCAAGTTGGGACTGAGTTAATTCATCTACGTTGTATATCCTCTGAGTTTTTAAATACTCCTTTGTATTTAGTAGATATTAAAATAACAAATAGAAACCCATTCGTGAAACGGGGTTTCTATGAAAAAATATATTTGTAATGAATACCACACTTCCTGGCTGTGTCAGTCCCACTGGAGCCACATGAAGCAGGCTCTGTTTCCGTCCTCTTACATTCAGCTCCCCATCGTCCAACTCTGATTTGAGTTTGTATCTAGATTACATAATATCTAAATGTATTGCAAATGAGTTGAACTTCTGTTACATAGTCGAATACTCTACCTTACAAAAAACATATATATTTTTTTTTTATCAAGCAATTTCATCATCCAGTACCTCTAGAAAGAATAACGGGAGTGAAGAAGTTGAACATGCCTTCTCGGGAATGTTTTCTGTTAGGGAAAGCGCTCTGTATACATTAAACAGTTTCATGAAAACGTTGCGTTGAAACAGTCATATCTCTTTTGTTTACCTTCTGTGTTAACTGCAGATTAAATATTTTCATTTGCCCAAGACTTACTCAATAATTAAAATTGAAAAACGTACCCACGGCATGATTTTTAAGTTACTAACTCACTATTCATTCATAAATACAATTGTGAAAACATGAGAAAAATTTCATCATGTTTAAAAATAGTAGAAGATGAGTCTGAGGGTACATGTTTGGGAAAGCAGAGTGTCATATATATTTCTTAGCAATATCACATATTTCTTATGTCAATATATTAGAAAGCTTGGAAAATTGAGTAGTATGCTGCAATTAAAATTTCTGATAAGAATAATAACTTTAAAATTAAAATCTTTATTTTCATATTGATCACATCGGTGCATGCTATCATAGGTTTATATTTATGATGTAAGAGAAAAAAGAAAAATCATAAAATGATTATATAAGTAAAAATCTGCCATTTGAGTCTCCTTTGCAATTTTCCATTTGTCACTGAGGTCTCTGATTTTATCATTTAAACTTATATGTCAAAACATATTTATAAATTGAAGGTCTACTGGTGAAATTATATGAGGGACTTCATAACAATACTGGTAATATTAAATAATTTAGAGGAAATTTTCATCAACAAAATTGTAACTTTGAAATCGTTGGTAAAATCTATTTTCAATCAAAATTTGGAATATGCTTAACTCCTTGATGAGTGACCAAAAGTTTCCCAGATTTAGACCAGTTGAACTAGTCATTTTTAGATTTAATGAACTTCCAAACTAAAATGCACATCACAAAAAAAATCTTCAGAATGTGAATTCTGAACAAAACCCTCTCTTGACAGGCTTCAAATTGAAACAACAGAATCTTATCACTCGACCTGAAGATACAGAAATTGCAAAGTGGATGTATGGATTTCTCCCATTGTTGGTCCCTTGCAAACCAGAGATTTTTCAAGCTATGAAATTAAATATATATATATATATTTTTTAGACATTATTTTTGAGTGTCAAGTATCAATGTCATTCCTTTTTTGCTATTAATTGCGATAAACACTATAAAAAGACAATTTGCTTCCTTCTTAATAACATTATATATTTTTCTGAATGTTTTGAGTTTTTTAATAGTGCTACAACTATAATTTTTAGTAGTTTTGTTTGAAGTGAAATATTCATGGACCTGTCTCAGTTATTGGCAAGACATTGCTGCTGCCCATTACAAAAATACAGAAGTTTTTAATTTCTCAAATTGCAACAATAAATATTGTAAACATAGAAAACCAGAATACTATGATTTGAATTCTTTAAAAAGCATATACAGTTAGTCATAAACACGAGCGTGTATAGACATGCCTTTCTATACAATAATCAATTACTTATAATTAATGTTTTTTGCAATGACAACTATTAAGAGTTTAAAATATCTTTACGTGAAAGTTTTTCTGCTAGTGTAAGTCAGTGTAATAAGAGTATAATAAAAGATACTAAGGAATGTAGTAACTATAAAATGGTCAATATCTGTTCTTAAAAGCATATTTGAACATGGCGCATTTGCACGCGAGTTTGTATTTAATTGACAACTGTTCATCTGAAATAGCAACCGTAGCCATTCTGGAAGCTCTAACATCAGCTTTGCTCTTACCTGATTGAGTCTCTGTTTCTTTTAATACTGGCTAGCTCCTCGTGCCCCACCGTAGACTCCCACAAAGGCTAACGCTGCACTTGGTGTGTTTTTATCACTTTTATTTTATCATTCTTATTTCTCTACGTATCACCAAATGGGTGGTGTGAATTGAGTTTCCAGCTTCAAGACTTGGCCCAATCCTGCCTACACGAACATCAGAAAACTGCACCTGGGTGTATAATCTCTCTCACTCTCTTTCTCTGCCTTTACTCTTCCAATAAATAAATAAATGTAATAATTTTTAAAGCTAGGAAATATTAAATATAATTAGAGGAGCTGACATTTAGTGATCCAATGTCATTAAGTTGGCCATTGTAATATTGCTGACATTTGCTCGCTAACTTAAATATAATTTTTGAAAAATATGAAAATATATTGAATTATACTCAAAGAGAACATGTGTGTTCCAGCATGTGTGAGATGAGTGGTACAGGCTAATCAGTGAATTTCTGATTTTAACTTTCCACTTTTGCAAAATATCCTGTTCCTCATGTGTAGTTAAAAAGCTGGAATATTTTATCATAATCTATAAAAATTACTGGGTTCTCTGATTCATGCAAACATAGCAATGCTTTACTAGATATGTAAGAAAATACACATTATTGTAATGTTCCTCAAATATTTTTCAAGTTTGGAGTACATGTTGGGTCAGTGCTACTAAGGGTTACCGTTTTACTTAAATGAAATAGTCCTTGGGAATTCTCTTAATAAACAAGTCCTGTGTTTGTGCTCCTAGAGTTCTATCAACATTGCCCTGTAGAAGCTGCAGTTCCTTTATTTGTAGGTTTTATTAGGATAGAACTGAGTGGCTTACAGAGTGGGAATGTGTAAATAAATCATAGTTTCTTAAAAAAATACAGACATCTTTAGAAAATTTCCACTGGCAATGGAACTTGTTTTGAACTATAATTTTATTTCAAAATAAATGTAATTTACTGAGATTCACATTCCTTAAAGTAACTGAGGAACAGGAAAGCAAAACAAAGAGTTGGATGAAGTCATAAATTGTAGGAGACCTAAAATGGAAAATCTTTCTTAACCTGGTTTAGCTTCCCTTTAAAATGACACTAAAGGGGAAATAAACTACATTTTGAATACTTTTTCTAACAATTTACAGTACAATTTAAACACAAAATTATTGCTTACTACTAAGGGGACAGTATTATTTGATATTAGGTGACAACTTACCCAATACAATTAAACCAACTTCTTTAAAATTATGACCTATAGAATTTCTTCTATGCCTTGATTTTGTATTTGATAATGTTTTAGGTTCTGAAAGTGACCATCTATTCCAACTCGTGTTTGGGATTATTATACAATAGAAGCTTTACTAATGTAATTTGAATCCTGTTTCTATCATGTGTTAGCTTTATGTCCACAGTTGAAGATATTAACTAGTGTCCTACACTGAAGCAAAAACTGGCCAATAAAACTTACCTAAAGCAGTGTTTGTGAATATTGGGTGAGAAAACACATAGAATGAACAGTCCAGTATCTGTCAAAAAACAGGGGTTTAATAGTCTTCCAGTTCAAATTCGCTTCAAAGACAAGTACATAATTGGATCTATTTTACTGTCTTCATCATAGGATTAAAAATTTAAAGGAAAAATTTGCCCCAATAAATCTAGTTTTTGCAACACTTAACACTTTGTTAAGATGCTATTGGTCTTCTCAAAGTGAGTCTCTTTGGTTAATTATATATTTATTAGAGCAATTTTCACTGTACCAGCTTATTCATAAGTTATTTATTAATGAGAAATACAATAAAAAATGTGTTTTCTGTAAAGTAAAACCAAAACCTGGAATGATTCTAAGTGTTTCTATGAGTGTTCAATCGGCTGTCATGCGCATGTACCTCTCCATTGGTGTAATAATTGGATATCCTAAATGATTATTACAGTCTTGAAAATAACATTGCTGCACAGAGCATAGGGTAACCCCAGGGAGGAGCAGGTGGACAGGAGGAGGCTTGTATCCCAACCCTGGAGACTCCTGGATCCTCTCCAAGGACTATCAGTACAAGCACCAAGGACTACATCCAACCTGCCAAGGAGACCACGAGGAATTGGAATGCCTTCGGAGGCCGAGAACACTGAGGTCATCCACTCCCGTTTGGATCGCCCACGTGGGATGGAAGACGCCCAAATCCTGCCTCGCAGGATCCAATGTCATCAGAACAACAGCCAGGATCTGCAGAAACAGAACAGTAAACTCCCTTCGGGACTAGGGAGCTTTCTCTGGTCCTTGCTTAGTTCCAACTTTGGATCCCCACCCTCTCCTGCAATGACCATCAGGGTCGCTCCGGAGTCCACCACTCCCCCCCCCCAAAAAAAACCCAACAACAAACAAATTAGAATAGACAGACAGAGAAGAACAAGGAAAGCTTAGAATCAGACAGGAAATGCTCAGCGGGGACTCACATATACCTTACTTGGTAGGACACAAAAATAAGCTACTCCTCACTGGGGTATTGAAGATTTCTCTGCACACCCTTCCTAAAACTGTTCTGCGCCTCAACTGTTGCCATATGCCTTGTAAGAGTTATAAGCCAATATGGACTATCCTAAAATCTGGCAATTTCAGTAAAAATTATGCTTCAATACAATAAATTGCTAAATACAAAAATGAAAATAGACACAAGACAGCTGACTAGTATCCTATAGCCATTTTAAGGTGGATAGCAGCTGGTTGTATATAAACTAAAATTGAAATGTCAATGAAGTAGTCACAGGATGTGGTTAAAAACTTGCATTTTCTAACATATCAGTCACTCAATACTATGTCAATCAACTCCATGATGTTATAAATTGTTGTTGATGCTATGTATGGCTTTTCATTGGAGGGGATGATAGTCTGCCAGCTCTGCCTTCAGACCAGAGATGGTCTCCCCAAGAAACTGTTGAATTTATCTGGACAATAAGATGCTGGACTCTATGCATGGTACATACTTGCAATGAAACAAGCATAACTGGATTTGAACTGTAATACTGCAATAAGGTCGAGTAATCCACCATGGGGAGAGGGTACAAGGAGGGGTTGGGGGAACCTCAGAGCCTATGAAACAATGTCACAAAATGAAATGCAATAAAAAAAGAAAATAACATTGCTAATATAAAGCAAAATTGGAAAAGAGATTATTGGAAAAGAGAACTGAGATGAATACAAATTCTAGGAAGGAATTAGAAAAGAAACAAGGCAGATGGGAGCAAAGTGAGTTATGGCATAAAACTCAAACCAATGGAGTTAATACATTTCCACAGAAAGTGCAATGAGAAATACCACTGAAAATACTAACAGAAAGGCACTACTGACCACCATGCAGAACATTTTATCTGCTCTGCTTTTATTTATATATTTGTATTTGCTATAAACAGAAAAAAGAGAGAGAGAGAGAGAGAGAGAGAGAGAGAGAGGCAGTTCTTCTGTTCACTGGTGTCACTGGCTCACTCTCCAAATGCATACAGCGTCTCTGGCTGAACAAAGCTTAAGCCAACCCTGAACAGCTACCTGCAGGTTGCCCTCACCCCTTTTGGTACTTGTTGAATTTCTTTTAGAAGATTCAGTGATTTTCAGAATTCTAAACAACGTAATGATATTCCCTACCTGCCTCCTTCTTCCTCCTTCCCTCTCCATCCTCTTTCCTTTTCTCTTTTTTCAGTTTTTGAGATAATATATTTTAAACTTACATCACAGTAAAGAAAAAAAGCTTAATACTTCTCTAAGTCAAAAGCTTAACAAGTAAGAAGCAAAAATATCTTAGATTAATGGGGATAGATGCAATGGCTCTAAATAATAATTGAATGGGGCCAATGCAATGTCCTAGTAGACTAATCCTTCTCCTGCAGTGCCCAAATTATATATGGGCACCAGTTTGAGTCCTGGCTGCTTCACTTCTGTATTATTATTATTATTGTTATTATTATTATTATTATTATTATTGTTATTATTATTATTATTATTATTATTTTACCAGGGAGAGATAGAGCAAACTTATGGCAACATGAAATGAAACAACATGCTACAGAATGACAAATTCATCACAAGAATGATGAGAAAGAAACTCAAAAGCTTTTTTGAAGAAAATGATGCTGGTGCAATACCCATATGGTGCTGAAGAAATTAATAAGAGAAAGAAAAAAAAATGAAGAAATGACAAATAAAGACAAAGATATCAATGCCCATGAGATGTAGTGAAAACAGTGTTGAAAGGGACACTTATAATACCAGATGCTTACAATCAAAATGTCTCATATAAATGATCTATTAATGAACGACAGTGACTTACTGTAAAAGACAAAAAATGAATAGGCAGTATGGAAAGGTAAAATTCACAACGAAAAAATGTTAAAAAAAAAAAAGAAAGCTACACATTGGGACAAAAGCCATGCTCTAGTCAGATGAGCAAAACAACACCTTAGCCATGTTAACACACAGCATCATGAGACAACCACTTAAAGTTAAGATGCTGGACTTTATGCTAGGTATATGCTTGCAATGAAGGAATCTCAACTGAACTTGAACTGAAATTTTCTTGTAGTTAGCAGGAACTCAATTATTTGAGCCATCACCACTACCTACCAGTGACTGTTTAGGAAACTGGAGTCCAAAGTTGGTGACAGGTATTACACCTAGGAATCAGAATATGAGATGTGGTGATCCTAAATTCTGGGCCAAATTCCCTTTATCACGTAATTTATTTTTGTCCCATTTTGGATGCCATTTTATAATGCCTTTCCATACAATCCTAGGCATGTTATAATTTGATTAACCAGATCCAAAAAAATTCCAAATATTTATTTCTATCATAAGCTTTTGCCTTGCTTTGGATTCCAGACCCATAACCCAGCTTCCTGCTTGCCAACTCCACCTTACTGCTCCTAGATACTTTGACTCATGGCACCTTCTGGAATTTGTCCTTCAGAACACTTAGGTTCTTAATTTTAGGAAGTAATAGTCCACTTAACCATTTCCTTAAGACAGAAATGCAGGAATAATATCTAACCCAAACCATCACTAGTCCCTATTCATTTAGTCTTTCTTTTAAATAACTTTCAAACCTTCTCCTCTTCCTGTCTCCAGATTCAATCTATACTGTGGAAGTACAGTTTACTAAAAATTCTAAACCCATCACAGGGTTCCCTTTCTGATCAGCTCTGCATCCTGACTTTAAATGGCTTAATTATTCCAAATAATGATGGAGATATTTAATACAGTAAATAAAGCTTAAAGCAATCTGTCTCTTGTTAATCTTTCCACAGCACAAAATAGATTCATATGGCAGCTAATCAAGCAGGAGTCAAGGAAAGTTTGTTTCAGGATAAAGGATGGCTACTCTTGTGGATATTGGAAAAGAAGATCAAACTGAGAGAAATGGCTTTCAAATGTGTTTAAAAGCCACTGACGAATAGTTAATATCTCAGTAGGAGTCAGTAAGTACAGCATACATGTTAAAGTGGAAAAGTAAAAATATTGGAGACATAAAAAGGTAAATTTAAACATATGTGTATGCTTCCTGATATGTTACATTGCTTATTAAAAATAATTACATGTCTGTTACACAATAAAATTGGTTACTAGACATAGTAACTATCTGTAATGGATATCAATTTAAAATAACATATTATGCTCTCGAGATGTATCTAAATGTGAAGAATTAGTCATTCTGTATTTTAAGAACGTCTACGATCTCCTAATTTGCATTTTCAATAATGTCAATAGGTTACCAAGTATAATTGAAATAAGATGTTACATTTTCATTTTTGAGATGATTTTCTGTGACTTTCCAAATACATAAAGTACTATCACACAATTCCTAGCTGACTAGATCAAAAAGCAAGTCTACCTTGAAAAGATGGAAATTTGGCTCTATTGATGACATTAAAAAGATGTTGCAGTGGGGTCTGAAGGAAATTCCAGTTATTAACAGATGCATGCTCTTGAAGGTGCAGAAGTGCCTCTTCATATCACTTTATCGCTCATGAAGTGTCTCTGTGTAAGCTGCTGTCTGGGAGCTAGCCAAGCACTTCTGGAGGCTGAACAAGTCTTTCAAGCAACTAGAATTCTATTCATTTCAATAAAACAGTGAATTGTGCGTGAACTAGAAAACTGACTCAAACGTATTAAATACTTCCTTACCAATCTAATTATTTTTGCCAGAGTTATTGCTACAAAGCAAGAATTTAAGTTTTCTATGCATGTTTGAGCGTAACAGCTCACATCACTGTTATTGGGTGGTTTATATTTTTATCAATAATATTTGATAGTGTGTTTGCTTCAATAATGGTTTCAGAGATTTAGAGAATTTGAGTTAGCACCAGCAAGGGTGTGCAGGGATCTGGGGGCTCACATACAGGTAAGTATAGCGAGTCAGGATTTCCCCATGTGTTCAGTCATGTGTTCAGTCATGTGTGGAGTGAAAGGGAAGGGAGGGCCCCAAGTCAGCTTGTTTCCCTGATGTGCTGGTGGACTGGGCCTGGGGAAGCTTGAATGAGCCTGGATCCTGGGTTTGTGGAGGGTTAACGGCCAAGGCCAGCACATGTGCCAGGAGCTTGGGACACACTGGCCAGTAGGCAGAGCTCCAGGCCAGCGTACCACCCACTGGGCTTTGGAAGGCTGGGGAGCCCATGCACGTCTGGGAGCAGGGACTGTAGATTGATTAGGAAAGTGTGCAAGAGGATGTCGGGGAGGCAATACCACTGACAGAGTGAATTGCAGGTGAGCAATGACGTCTGAATGACTCCTAAAAAACAAGAATACTGTACTTACAGCTAAGCGAGGGGACTGAGACCTAGCAACTTGAAGTGGGGAGTGGAAGGTTGTATAAGAGTCAGATCAAAGTACTAGCACACATGGGATACCTGAACTGGGGTAATTAGCATCACCTATCACTGAATATTGCTAACTGGCATGCACTAAGGATAGGACCTGCCTGGAAGGGCTAGATGAGATTGCCCACCAGTGAATGTCGGAATAGGGGAGGGATAAGGTTAGGCTGGCCCATGAACACTAACGAACATGTAAGAGAATCAGGTCCAGGGTGGATTCTGTGTGAATATATATAGAAAACACTGTGAACCTACAATTTCCACTGGTGGGCTGAAGAAGTGGGGGTGATGGGCTGAAGTAAGCATGACTATGGAATTCTCTGACACTCATGGGTGCTAGAGTTGGGATCAGGCCGGACAGCTCCAGGTTGCACCACCTGTAGCTGCAATGCAAGAATATGGTGTGGTGCAGCTGGGCCATAACATCCAACAGTTCTTACAAAAGCTGATATGGAGGGGACAGATTATACTGGGTTGGGAGCTTAGCACTCCCTAAGCACATGTGAGACCTGGGTCTGGGAGTGGACCTGTGGGGGAACTTGAGAAACTCCCCTAGTGAGAAATGACCAATTATAGGTCATTTCATGGATGCTTCACTTACATAATCAATTCCCCATGTGATTAAAATACAAAATGTACAGCTGAATCATCTATTTTTTTTTTAAAGATTTATTTTTATTATTTTCTCATTGGAAAGGCAGATATACAGAGAGGAGAGACAGAGAGGAAGATCTTCCGTCCGATGATTCACTCCCCAAGTGAGCGCAACGGGCCGATACTATGCCGATCCGAAGCCAGGAGCCTCTTCTGGGTCTCCCACGCGGGTGCAGGGTCCCAAAGCTTTGGGCCGTCCTCGACTGCTTTCCCAGGCCACAGGCAGGGAGCTGGAAGGGAAGCGGGGCTGCCGGGATTAGAACCGGCGCCCATATGGGATCCCGGGCGTGCTAAGCGAGGACCTTAACCACTTGCGCCACCGCGCCGGGCCCGAATCATCTATTTTTGAAGATAACACATTTCAAAACTGCAAATATCCTGTTAGTTAAATGATATTTTGTAGAGCTGTGCTCTTTGTGACTGTGGAGAACATTAAAATAATCTTTGTTTCTTTGTTTTGACAGCACTGGCGAAATAGGGTGATGTCATTAAAAATGACACAGAGAGGGTGGGGTCCTAGGTAACAGGAGTGGGCAGGGCAGCAACAGAGAGGCATCCAGTGCCCTTCGGACACAGGAAAGCAATAGAAATACAGGAGTGGTGATGTAGTGCCTAGAAACCCCAGTGGTTATCACAGCTCACCAGTAAACATCTGGGAAGGGGTAATCTACCAGGAATGCAGAAGGTGAATCAAGCCATTGATTTTAAGGTCCCATTGATTTTTTTTTTTTTTTTATCAAGTGCATTTATTTCAAGAAGCGCAAAGACTGGAAAATGTACAATTTTGGACACAAACTTTACAATGTGGTATAGTAAGAATGAATTTTTTTTTTATTTAATTTTGACAATCCTTACAAATTTGATTGGGGTAAAAAAGGGTCAAGGTCTAAAGGGGGATATAGAGGAAGAAGCCCCACCCAGTCTCCCGCCCACCCCAAGTCCCGGTGTGGGGCGCGCTCCGAGATACTCGATCAAGTGGTCCCAATAGTTCACCATTCATGGGTCGTTGCCGGTCTCGCCACCCCAATCATGATGTGGTCATTGAAGAGTCCATTGATTGACACAGTCCCTTCTAGGGTCTCCGTTTGCCCAGTCTCTGCTGCCAACAGATGGCTGAGGTTGTTGCTTGATTTGTCCTGTCTTTCCCTGGTTAGGACTCCGAGTCCGGTGTCTCGAATGGGAAGATCCTCGAAGAAATTTTGAGGTATTCCCAGTCCAGATTCCTGCTGTTTTAGTAGCATAGGGCCCGTCACAGTCCACTGCCCCGGTCAGCTGGCGGCTGCAGTTGCTGGGCCGGTTCTGCCTCCACCCGTGTCCTCTTGCAGTCCAGCCTGGTTCCACCCTGGACGCATTTGTCCCTCGCACGTACCAGTAGGAGTTGCAGCCCAGTCAGGGCGGCCCACAGTAGCCTCAACCAGGCCCACCTCCTACCCTGGCTTGCCAGTATATATGGCATACTAGCCCAGTCTGTCCCCAGTACCCTTCTGTTCATATTCTTGCCAACAGGTGTTGCCACCTACTTCCATCTAACTATCTCCTCCTACCGTCCCTAACGGATATTGTTGGGTGTCTGTCTAGCCACCCCAGCCCCTGTCCTAGTTCCCATGCCCTCTCGTGGGAGGTGATGACCCACGAGGGAGGAACCCACTATTTCCCTCCCAGGTCACTCCCATTCCAGTTGTGCCCTCTCCATTTGGCCCTGTAGTTCAACTCAACGTGTCTAACCCTTTGTACCAGCTTCCGCCAACTGGTGCTACAACTAAGCCCCAATAACCCTCACCAACTCTGATTGTAGCTTGCTCCAGTGGGAATAGTCAGCCCAGCCTGGTTTTCACCCAATCTGGTCCCCATGAGGTGCACGGGCGCTGTGACCCTGCCTGGTCTAGTCTTCCCCCCACTCAGCTCCCGCTCCTCAGTGTAATTTGCTGTTCAGCTAGGGAACCTCCCCTTTTTCTCCTGTCAGCTCTGCCGCCTCCTTTCCTGATTCTCACTTGTGTTGGTTGGGTGCTGCGGCTGCATCCGGCTCAGGCTACCTCACCTTGGCATTCCAGCTTGTGTGTTGCTTTTGCTACGACCGGACCTGGTTCGACCCACACTCTGTTCTGGCGATCAGATTTACCAGTGGATCGACATGAACAGATTCAGCCTGGTCTGCCCCCGACCCATGCCAAATGGATGCCAGTGGGACTCTTTCTATGACCTCTTGGCTGTTGCCTTGCATGTTCCTTGCGCTGACCTGCAGGGTCTGTGTCCTGCCGGAGGAGTTGCCTGAGCTCCTCCATCAGAACCCCTCCATGTGCCAGGTTTCGCGCATATCAGTGGGTCCATGTGCCAGTTCGCCTCTTATCCTAGTAGGAACAGTGGCCTTTCCTAACTGGCCATCATCCCGTTCTGGTTCTTGCTGTAGAGTGTTTCAGTGCAGCCACGGTCATCCATGCCCCCATATAGCTTGTACATGGCGAAGTTGAGGTTGGGACCTAGCCTAGTCCGTCCCACATCCACCCTGGTACTCCAGAGCGCCAGAAGGTGTTAGTGTCTGGCCCGGTCCGGCACATCTTTTCCCAATCCACATTTGTGCCGAGGGAGAGGACAGCTGTATCCAGACCCTGCCGCAGCCCCGTCCACCTGTCCCGGCCCCTGCCTTAGACTCTGTGGCTCATCTTTGTGTTTAATGTGAACCAGTTGGAGCCAAATCCAAGCTGGGCATGTCCTGTGTTGCACCCTGTGTTCCAGTCATACTAGTGGACTAAGGTTTGCTTAGTCCGAACATTCATCTCTCAGTCCCGCACTTACATTAAGGTTTCATGTCCCGATTCCTGGGAATCACCATAAATTAGTCTCTCACCTACACTAACGCTGGTCTTACTTTTGGGTGTCCCGAAGCAGCTATTTCATATCATCAAAACCCCAGAGCTCGCCGCTGGGCGGCCAGCAGGCAGAGCCTGGCACCACTTGGTGCACTGGCCGCCTAAGGCCGGGGCCCCTGCCCCCGCCGCAAGCGGCGGGAGCTGTGGCTGGGACCCCGGCAGGATTCGGACCGGAAGGGGCGTTTCCATGGAGCGCCACCTCGCATGGAAGTTTAACCCCGCCCCTTGCCTGGAGATTCGAACCCACCCAGACTGTCCTGCCGTCAGCTTTTGGCTGGCGGGGACAGGGGAGAGCCGGGGTTTCGCCCCCAGCCCTCCTTGCCAGCCCTCGTGAGTACTCACCCGCGAGGGGGCTTAGTTACCCCCGGGCCGGGAGAGGGCCGGAGTCCCTGCCCCCGCCGCAAGCGGCGGACGGGGGCTGTGGCTGGGACTCCGGCAGGGTTCGGACCCGGTCCCATTGATTTTTAACCTATTCATGAGCTGACACAGAACAGCAGATGGTACAGGAATGGATTGGAGTTAGCAACCAGACCCCAACCAGTGCATGAGTGGCACATCAGGTGCTATTTTGAGAACAGCAGCAAAAGCCTGGAGGATAGTGGCTAGCTGTGTATGTGCTACACCAAATGACAATCCACATCTTGAATAATCTTGAATAATCTCCCATGCAATATGATATCAGGAGTATAGGTCACTGGTACTACAAGGAATATAATACTAACTTGGAATCCCATGGATAAGATCCAAAATAGGTTCAAGTTGCCCCAATCTAGCTGTTTCCAGTTTCCAGCAGGAAGAGAAAAAGAAATCCATGCTCCACAGAGCAAAGCAGAGCACTGACAAAGCAAGTGCCACTGTTGTCTCCTTAATCCCAGATGCTGCTGAAACCTTGGGCAGGAGGAAGGCCAAAAGACAATAGTTTTACCATGACCCAAGATGACGAGGAGTGGAGAAAGGCAAGCCGTGTGGCTATGGCAGCTGGAGTTGTAATAGGAGCACAACATAGGAGCCTGGGATTGAAACTTGCTGGAGGAGTGGTTCTAGTGACAAACATACCCAGGTACCGAACCGGCCAATAGTCAATCTGTATACCTGTGAAGAACACGATGTACAGATGAAATCAGCCACCAAGAAAAGAATCAGCTAACCTGAACTGCAATGGCTAGGAGCAAAGGAAGAGGTACAGGCACCACGAATGAGGTTATGGATAACTTCCCCCCGCAATATAAGATTTAAAAGACTAATTTAGCCTCATAATTAGCTGATGAAGACATTGAGGAACTGCAGGATAAATAATTTTTTAAAGAACTATTAAGCTCCTAAAAAGAGCAACTGGAAGAAAATGCAGAAGTTCAAAGAATATGTTAAAAAGCAGACATGAAATAGAATCAAATTGAATTACTAGACTTAAGGAACTTAATCGAGCAAATTAAAAATACAACAGAACATCTCCATAACAGAATGAGTGAGACAGAAGAAAGAATCTTAAAGGTAGAAGATGCCAAATGCAAAAATACCAAAATGGTCAGAAATCTGGAAGAGCAATTGAATAAAGCTAAGAAGACTGTCCAAGATTAATTGACAGAGTCAAAAGGCCAAATGCAAAGGTCATGTTAGTTCCTGAAGAGAAGCTGTATTGAAAGAAGTTTTTCAGTGCAATAATGAACAAAAAGAGAGCCTCACAGCAGCACAGCATAATAAAGCTCTGGTTGGATACAAAGAAGAGATACTTAAATATGCACACCAGAAATGTCAGATAACTTCCTGAGAAATTGGTGGAGGATGGCCCAAAGCCTTGGGACACTGTACCCATATGGGAGCCCTGGAAGAGGCTCCTAGCTTCTGGCTTCAGATTGACACAGCTCCAGCTATTGCAGTCATTTGGAGAGTGAACTAGCAGGTGGAAGATCTCTTTATGTCTCTCCTTACCCTTATAAATTTGCCTTTCTGATAAAAAATAATAAAATCTTAAAAACAGTCCGTGAATCAAAGAGCTGGTTCTTTGCAAAAATCGACAACACAGATATCTCACTGTCCCAACTGAATTAAATAATGAAAATCAAAAAGGAAAAATATCATATATTACTTCTAAGGCAAACTTCATTCAAAAATTCTAAAAGTAGATACACAGTACATACATATGTTCACGTAGATAAACTGTATAACAGGAATTGAAGATATGTGGCTTTAGGCGTCTCTATTCATAAAGACCAGGAGGACTCCCAGGAAAACACTTATATATGCCTTGACAATATGACATTAGATTTTCTACTTTCGTCTGTACCAACGATGTGATAATGCACTTAAGTGACAGAATGTTAAACTTTTAACTGTTACTAAGGCACTGCACTACTGCAGTAATATGGGGGAAATGGCAGGAGGGAAAGAATAGGAGGATGAAAGCGGAGGCGGAGGGAATACCTATACCTATAAAGTTGCACCAGAAAAATATTTTTAAAAATACTTTTGTATTCTGTCATTTGTAATCTGAGAATCATTGGGGTCAATGTTTTCATTACAAATTGTTATGCAATTTGAATGCCATTTTTTTCATGAAAACTCACATATGTGGACTTGGTACCAAGTACTGGCATAACAGTCCCATTGAAAGGCAACTTATGTTTTCTTATAAAGGGTTTTTGAATTAACAAAATACGGAATGCATTCTGAAATACATGGGTCCTAGGAGAAGGCCACGTGTCCTTCTGGGAGAGACGTTAACTGAGCTGTGATCTTACTTTGTTGCAAGAATTTTAAACCTCTGCTAGATTTAAAATGGTGAGCTTCGAGGCTTACTAAATAGTTTTCCAAAATCATTTCTCATAAAGTGAAATTAAGAGTTTATTTGAAGTGTATTAAGAATCTCCTGTCAATTTTTGAGAAGCCTGAAAACTGGAGCCTTAGCACTTTTTGAAAGTGAACTTTTTAATTTATAACTTTTATGAATTTTTTGAGTGAGACAGTGAGAAAACTCCCTTCCACTGCTTGACTCCCCTTGAATGCCTACAACTGTCAAATCCAAAGCCAGGATTCAGGAATCGAAGGGCAGACTACCCATATCATCACCAGCGTTTCCAATTTGCTTCAGGGGAAGCTGAAATCAAGAGCTCGCAGCAGGAATACAACCCAGGCACCATGGCATGGAATGCAGAGCTTACAGCTGGCAGGACAAATACCCTACCCTTGCTACCATTATTGTGGAAAAAAAAAAAAAAGAAAAAGAGGAAACTTTTTTTATCATAGATTCAAAATGTTTCATAAAATTATCAAAATTAATGGGCCTGATATGATAGAGTAACGGCTAAAATGCTTGTCTTAAACACACCGGGATCACATATGGGTATTGGTTAATGTCCCAATTGCTCCACTTCCCATCCAGCTCCCTGCTTGTGGCGGGGGGAAAGCAGTTGAGGATGGCTCAAAGCCTTGGGACCCTGTACCTGAACGGGAGATCGAAAGAAGTACCTGGCTCCTGGCTTCAGATCAGCTCAACTCTGGCTGTTGTAGCCACTTAGGGAGTGTACCAGCAGATGGAAGATCTTTCCCTCTGTCTCTGTTTCTCTCTGTAAATCCAATATGCCCTTCCAATAAAAATAAATAAACCTTAAAAATATAAAAAATTAATGTGATGAAATATGCATGAGTTTCATGGAATAAATTAGATACATAAATTTACTTAAATTATACAAAAAACTTAACCATTGATGAACAAGATATTATTATTATTATTATAAAACTATTCCATGAAGGTCTTTTTGAGTACTAGTTAGATATTAACAAAAAATAAATCAAATTCTTATTTTCCATATATTTTGACGAACTAAATGTTTAGGTCAGAAAGTAATGTATAAAATATGCCAGAAGAAAACGCAAATGAATATAATGAGCAGGTATTTAATAAACCTTTGTAAACTAAGAACGAAAGCATGAATGAATGGATCCGAAGAACAAGCCTCATCTGTTTTTCCAATCGTACAAGGGCTTTTCGTTCCACTCATCCAAAAGCCACAGTGGTAAGGGGAGACTCCAACTCCAACTCCGCAGAGTGTGAGTGTACTCACAGCCTGCAACGCTCGGAAGGACGCGTGTGGCTGCCCAGAGCCCTACTAAAAAAAAGCTGCATCCCAGGAAGAAGAGAGGAAAAAAAAGGAGCAAAGAAAGGACTCGGCAAGAGGTCTCGGGCACTGCTGCTATCAGAAGCATCAGCAAATGTGCATTCTCAAGATGAGACGCCCAGCCAAAGGTGAATCTTTGGATCCTGCTTCTGAACAGCAGGAACAGGGACAGAAGTGAGGCGCTGGCAGCAGCAGACCTGGTGCAGGTCCGGTTTACAGAAATAGAGACGGGGCTATAAGGAGGATTACAGCGACTTCGCATTTGGGGCACCAAAGAGGAATTCAGCTTTGCATTATGGAAATCAAGCAGCTGCCATACTGCTGACCTATCAGTCTGACCAAAGGAACTTCTTACAAACCCTTGGCTGAGGGGAACTCAATTATTAGAAAACAGGACTTAAAAAAAAATAATAACAGACTTTGGATTTTAAAAATAAGAAAATGAAAAGAAAAAGCAGCATTGTAATTTCTAACAGAAAAATGCCTGTCACTTGGGATGCCTGTTATAGTCTTGGATGTTCTACTTTTGATGCAGCTGCATGCTTACGGCCTCGGAAAGCAGCAGACAGCCCGTGTCCTTGGGCTTCTGCACCCACGGGGGAGACGGGTTAGACGTTCCTGCCTTTGGATAGGCTCAGCTCTGACCACTGTGGCCATGTGCGGAATGAATCAGTTGATGGAAGATCTCTCGGTGTCTCTCTTTCTCTGTAAATCTGCCTTTCAAATATGAGATAATAATAATGTTTAAAAATAATCTTTAAAATGGTCTCTTGTAAGGAAAAGCTTATTGTAAGCAGAATTTTCCAGAAATTCAGTAATTAAGTGGAAAGGAAATTAAAGTAATGAAGCGTAGCATGTCAAGACTCCCTAAAGAAGAAGAACGAAGTAATACATGGAATGAAGATAAAGAATTATGGAAATATTGTAAAGA